AGCCAATTTGGTTTACATTAATTGAATGTCAAGCTAAAGCCAATTTGATTGAAGCCAATTGAATGCATACGCTGAAATCAGCGCAACTCTCAAAACGGCCACAAAGGGGCACGAGTCTGAAAGTGGCCTGGAAGGAACGCAGATGGCATCAGAAGGAAGCGTTGATTGGCCTGGGAGCAGAAGGGCCCTCAGGAAGGCTGCGGGTGGGTTGGATCGCTGGGCTGAGGCCGATGGGATGAACTGTAATGAGACCGAGCGCCGCATCCCACACGCTGCCTGCGATGACCTTGGTAGGGGCTTGTGGCAGAGTGACAGGAAGATCATGGAAAGGGAACGGAGCGGGGATTTGGGTAACGGCTCAACCGAACCGAGCTGGCGGTGAGTGTGGGAGGCCAGGAAAGCCAATGGCGTCGCAGGGGGGAAGTCATCGACTGGAAGCGTTGAAGGCATCTTCACCTGTAATACAGAGACATGCTTTAGAAGGAGGAACGCAGAGACCCAAACGGTGCTCACCGTCAGCCCACCCCCACAAAACGTGGAAGCCAAACACCACTCCAAGAAATGGCTTCAGAGTAAGGTTAGGAGTATTTAACAGGAAAGGTGTTAGGGTTAGGTACATCAGGATTAGGGTTAGAGAAGGCCAAGGCAAAGGCAGGAGCAAAAGGCAAGGAGAACAGCGGAGGGAACGCCAAAACAGAGGGCAAAGGGATGGGAAAGACAAGGAGAACGCCAAAGGTCGTGTCAGAGGTCAGGCCCAAGGAGAAGGCCGCAGAGAACGTCAGAATGGAGACCAAAGAGATCAACGCAGAAAGCCAAAATGGAGGGCGAGGTCCGTGAGAACGCTGCAGGGAAGGCTGATGCAGAAGGTCAAGGGCAATGGCCAAAGAGAATGCGGCACAGAAGGCCAAAACCAAAGGCAAAGAGAATGCTGTAGGAGATGCCCAAACAAGAGGCCAAAGGGAATGTGGCAAAGAAGGCCAGGAGCAATGGCCAAAAAGAACATGGAAGGGAACGCCAAAATAGAAGCCAAAGAGAACGCCGCAGGGAACGCCAGAAGAGGAGGCCAAAGGGAATGGGGCAAAGAAGGCCGAGGGCAACGGCCAAAGAGAACGCAGCCACGAACGCCAGAACTGAAGGCCAAAATAATGCTGTAGGGAACGCCAGAACGGGAGGGAAAGTGAACGTGGCAAAGAAGGCCAAGGACAAAGGCCAAGGGAATGTGGCACAGATGGCCAAAGCCGAAGGCCAAAGAAAACGCAGTGAAGGTGGCCAAGAGCAAATGGCCAAGAGAATGCCACAGGGAACGCCAAAACAGGAGGGCAAGAGAACGTAGCAGGGAAAGCCAAGGGCAAGGAGAACGCTGCAGTGAAAGGCTGGAGGCAAGGAGAACACAGAAAGAAAAGGACAGGCAGCATCTAGGGCACCATGAAGTGCAGAAATGAGCTCTGGGAACCCTACCTTGTGCCTCGCTAAGTAATGAGTAAACACCGGTGGGTGAGCATCGCCCTTACCTGCTGGGCAGACAATTACCGGCCAGCAAAGCGGGGTTCCGGGCATCCCAGGAAATGCAGATTCCGGTTCCTTGCAGCTGCCTGAAGAGCCGCGCACCTCCGTGCTGTCCTTAAAGTGCTCAGGAGCAACGCAACTCTGCTGCCACCTGTTGGACACAACGCAGTAATGAAGGCGCTGCCCCACATGTGTGGGGCTGCACCCTGAGCACAATGCTGTAATGATGACACAAGGGTTGTAATCAATTATAATTAACGTTAGGGATAGAATTAATGGTATTGATAGGGTGGAAGTTACAGATGGTCTAACATCAGTATTCTGCACTACAATTACAATTAAGGTTATTTGACAAAACATGGGGCATTATTTTTATGGCAGCATTCAGGGTAAGAGACATTTTCAACACTGGGTTAAGGGTTTGGTCTACAGATACGCTGCAGGTTAACACAATTATCGTCAGAACTCCCATTCAGCTGTGGGTTCAGGTCAAGGTTAACATTAAGGCTGCCTCCCAGCTCATCATAGAGTGCCAAAGGCAAAGGGAAGCAGGACACCCAGGGCAGGCAAAGGAAAGCAGAACTCCCATGGAAAGCCAAGGTAAATGCAAAGCAAACAGCCAAGCTAAGGCAAGGGCAAAAGCAAAGAGAGCACCAATGGCAAGCCAAGGAGAGGGCAAGGAGAACGCAACAGGAAAGGCCAAAATATACAGCCAAAGAGACCACAGCAGGAAAGGTCAAGGGCAAAGGCCAAAAGAACGCAGCATAAAATGCCAAAACAGAAGGCCGAGGGAACACGGCATGGAATGCCCAGGCAAGGGCTAAGAAAACATGGCAGGAAGTGTCAGAACAGCAGGGCAAGAGAATGCTGCCAGGAACGCCAAAATCAAATGGTGAAGAGAATGTGGCTACAGAAAGCCAAGGGCAATGGCCAAGAGAACATAGCATGGGACACAATAACAGGGGGGCAATGGAATGCCCAGAGAAGGGCAAGGCCAAGAGAACGTGGAAGGAAATGCCAAGGATGATGGCCAAGAGAACACGGCAAGAAACGCCAAAACAGGAGGGCAGGAGAACGCAGCAGGGAACGCCAAAACTGAATGCTGAAGTGAATATGGCAAAGAAAGCCAAGGGCAACAGCCAAGAGAACCCAGCATGGAACACAAAAACAGGAGAACAAGAGGATGCCCAACCAATGGCAACGGCTAAGAGAACATGGAAGGAAATGCCAGAACAGGAGGGCGAGAGAACGCGGCACGGAACGCCAAAACTGAATGCTGAAGTGAATGTGGTAAAGAAAGCCAAGGGCAATGGCCAAATGAACGTGGCATGGAGCACAAAAACAGGAGGGCAAGAGAATGTAATAGGAACGGCAAGGGCAAAAGGAAGGAAAACACTGCAGTGAAAGGCCAGAGACAAGGAGAACACAGAAAGAAATGGACAGGCAGCCTTCTGGGCACCATAAAGTGCAATTAAGAGCTC